CCGACACCGGGCAGCCGCACTGAGACGCGTGTCGAGGCGCTGCAGCTCCCCGAAACGCTGGGACGCGCAAAGCCCGTCATTCCCGCAGAGATGGGAGGGCGCGGGGCCGGCAAGGGAATCCTGCCGAACCTGCTGCCCGAGCGATGTCCGCCGCCCAAGCCAAGGGCACGTCCAGCCGAGAAGGCTGCGCTGCACTCTCCCACACCTGACCCTTCTCAGTAGCCACAGTGCCACCATCAACCCAAGACACTTCTTTCCCATCCACCTTCTCCATTTCCTTGGCACGAGCACACATCCGATTGTAATAAAACCTCCAGTACTTTGAACAACATCCACACAATCCAACACATCACCTTGCCACGGCACCAAAACAGTGTGTTTCGGGAACAGGAAGGTATACACGAACACACAGCATAAAATTAGCAGAACGGTACAGCTCTTCAGTTCTCCCTGCAAAAGATCTAGAGTGAAGCAGAGAACATCACCATGAGGCACTCCGTTACCGCCATGGAGCAGCTACAAGCCCTTGTGCTTCCCCTGGACATGTGAAAGTGGGGTGGAGGGAACAAAAGATGGTGAGGGGAACAGCGTTCTTGCTGTCCCACATGTTCTTGTTATGCACATTACCTTGTCTGGAAACGGTGGAGAGAATTTTCATGCTTTTCCCCTCTTCCGGAGGGTCCTTCCTCTAATCTATCAAGCATTTCCTTTTACTCTAGCCCTTTACATAGCTAGGGGGAGAACAAGGAATGAGCACTCTGAAATTTCATTTATCCTGAATCAACTGCTGCACAAATGGCAGCTGCCAAGGCAAGAAAAACCAGAAAGGAGCCAGTGCTGGCCTCCAGTGCTGCTGCTCCCTCGAAGTGAGCAGAAGCCCTCCTGGGGACCTGGGAGCTCTGCAGGAATGCCCCAGGAGCCACACCACCTCCGATAAGGTTTTTCAAATGTTGACTAGCTAGTGTCATGTGCCTGCTAGCAACACGTCCTAACATCATGGGTTGTATTAAACAGAGCATCTTGTGAAGAATGGAGTCATTTGTGTCTTTATCCACAGCTCAAACCTTAGAATTGTTTGAGAGGATTTAAATCCATCTCCTGGGAAAGTTTTTGGTTTTTTATTTCCCTTATCAAATAATTTCTTACTTTAGGGGATTGCTACTATTTTTTTTTAAGTAACAACTGAAATGACATGTCAGTGCCAAGACTGAGTTTTAAACTCTTCTACAGAGTATGGCACTTGCTCTGATTCAGGCTTCAGGTGAGTTCATGTTTACTGGGTTTGAAACTGGAAGAAATTTTATTCAACTTGATTTCAAAAACTTAGGTTCAGAATTATTTTATTTTTTTTACACAGCTTGGCAAATAGGAAAGAATGAAAAAAACCACCCAAGTTTGTCTTCTTCACAGTATTTCATTTTTTTATACCTTTGTGCAGCTTCAAATAAACTAAAATTACCTTTCTGACTTCATCCTCACTAATGCTCGAAGACATTTTTAAGGAAATGTTTTTGAAAAATCAGAAAACAATTTATAATTTCACAGGAAAGATATATAAGCCAGTCTTTTTTAATTGTTTGTGACTTGGCTTATAACACCCATCTCTCATGGTGTTTCAGCCCTCCCAAACCCAAAAGCAAACAGCTATCCATGCCCACAGGAAAAGCTCTAATAGGTAATGTCATAAAAAATTTTTATCTCACCTGTGTTTCTCTTACCCAGGAAGGAGAACAAAATTTTAAAGTCAGTGGTAGAGTATTATCCACCAGAGTTTCTTGGAATAGAGAAGATTACAAAGAGAACAAAATAATTTGATGATACATGCAAAGAGAATTCATGACAATAAAAACACAGTACAATGACCTCATGCAAATATCATACAGCTCTTCTTGAAATAAATAGACATGGGTGGTTCTAAAAGAGGCACACAGCACCTAAAGGATCAGACAGAAATCAGATAGTAAGTCTAAATTAATTAAATATGACTGTTAATAACCTTATTAAAATTTTTACTTACGTAAATAAATGGAAATTGCAAGCCACATTACAAGTCTTTGGATGTAAATAACAAAGATCTTGTATATCCATAACATTTAGAAATTTGAAGAAAACTGGGAAGGAATGATCAAAGCTTTTCAGCTATCTCAGGTGCCCCAAACTCCTTTTGTCAATCGGTCCAGATTCAGTGAAGTATCAAGTTCATCAGTCAGTTGTATTCAACTAAGTTTCCAGGCATTAATTTAAATTTTGTAGGAATAGAAATGGGTAACTTCCCAACAGGGCAAGACCTATCTTGTGACTCACTGCTCTGAAGGAAAGATATTTTGCAGCATCTCTCAGGAAATGGGAACAGGTTTTGCTTAATTACCCTGGTAGACATTTCTGTCCAGGGGAAGGAACAACTCACTTCACTGCAGGGCAGCTGTTGCCAGACCAACAGGATGCTCAAGACCACAGAAAGCAGTAGATGGGCAAAACACTAAATCTGTGTTGGGAAGGAGCTTTTATTCTTCTCCTCCTAACAAAAGCATGATACATGGGTATACTTGTAGAGAGACAAGCTGTTTCATAGTTTGATGGGGCGTTGTCTGTTTTGGTTTTTTCCCCCCACTTTTAACTAGCATTTAACCAGTGCCTTTTCTACCTCAAACCAGTCAAATACAGACTTTCACATTGACATGTAAACTTCCTGTGCTCCTCATTGCAGCAGCCCTGATGTACCTGAGAGTTTGTACACAGACTTATTTCACAATATCCACTTAAAAAAGACAGTATGGAGGCAAAAATATTAAGAAGCATCTCTGCTTTTATGGCCAAGTGCACGGAGTGCACTAAGCAGAAGTTGTCACACTACAGATTACAAGAAACACAGTTTACCTCTAAGTTCTCAACTAAGTTTGGATGCCTGTTCTGGAGAAGCTAAGGCCCACATATTTCATGTGTGGTTAGTCAAACCACCCAGAGCAATTCAGTATTTTGTGCCCAAAGGGACACTTTGCAAGGAACCATACAGAATAATGGAGGCAGCACTACCCCAAAATAACGAATCAATGGCAAATCCTACATCACGTGTGGCAAGGTCATGAGAAATCTCTCACCAAGTACCATCCTACAGGGACTGAATCTGCTCCTCACCATTGCATACATAAACACAAATCTTCCTGGTATCCTCCAGAGATGGGACTTATCCCTCAACTCAGGGTATGTTCCACATTAACTGCTGTTTCTTCCTACTAAGAATTCCAGCAGGCAGAAGGAGAGAGAGGCTGAGCTAGTTACAACCCAGGCACAGAAGCTTGACAGCCAAGAGGGCCATGCTCATTAAATGCCAGTGAGACCTCCAGTGCAAACACTGAGAACTACATCAGCGGGCCACAAGTGGTCAGTCCTCCTTCCATGATAAAAAAACGTATTTATTTCAACACAGAAATGTGCATTTGTATCTCTTCGGAGTTAAACTAGCATGTTTCCTGTATGAAACATAGGGTCAGCATTTTCATTTGTCTCATTTGTACCCATGGAGAGGAGACACACCACAGAGATTCTCTGAATTTCTAAACCAGGTATTCATACCCTGAACAAATGCTGGAGTTTTAAATGGTTCAAAGACATACTTCTATTTCACAAATGCTTTGGTGTTTCTTTTAATTAAGCTTGTTTATAGATTTAATGAGAGAATTGAGTGGCCTTAAGCAAATAAACGTTTTGTAGAATTTTTCCAGTTATACAACTTATTCTTGACAAAAAAATGCATAAAATTTATTTAAATTTGGAGAATTTTAATTCAAAAATATAAATACTTTAATTCCTTTTCTACTGTCTCTTTGATGTTCTTTGCCAGGGAGTTCCACTAAGTTAATTGTAGGTCTTTTTTCATTTTTCTTGGGAGGAGAATAGGATTTGGTGGGGGGAGGGTGTCAGGAGCCACATGGAAAAGAAAATCAACCTTTTGTCCTCTTGCTTCCCCCTCCTTTGACTCTGAAAGTTTTAAAAGATGAAATATTTGGAAAGGGCATAATATAGCAGAAGTCAAGACAAAAGCAAGAAATTATGGAAAACAAGAAATTAATAAATTCAATTTAAAGGCAAAATGGAAATAGAATGTAACGAGGAGATCCTTTACCTGACCTCCTCCAAAGGGGCAAATTACACATTGTAGATGCTAAATATTTTGGGCCTGATTACAATCCTGTGTATTTTACAGCATCTACCTTTTAAGACATGTGACTTTAGTTGAACCCTTTTTGATTTACACCAGCTTTAGTTAAGTCTCATGTCCTGTTTTGCTTTCCCTTAAACAAACAAATTTACCTGTTCTTCAAATTAAATCTGGTTTTAATTTTATATAAAGCATTTAGGAACACTTGTCATACAAAAGACATTCTATTACACAGAGGTATATTGTTTTTTGTTATTATTTTTTAGGTTTACCAGCTGCACTGCATTTCCATTGCCCCTCACATAAACTCTAACAATTTGGATATGGCCAAATCTCTCCTAGCACTGCTCCTGGGGCCTACTCTTTTTTATTTAATTTCTGACTAAAAAATTCAATCAGGGCCATTAAACAATAACTAGTTTTTACTAAGGCTACAGCTCAACAACATATAAATATATTTACTTTTTAAGTACCTTTAAGGATCTCCTTTCCCCTCCGTCTTCCCTCTCTCCTTGGGGATGACTTTTGGGTTCATTGATTTCCTTTTTTTCACTGTTTTTATATTTAGCTCACAACCAAACCCTCTCAATAGATAAGGCTTTGCATAGCAGTAAAAGGGCAAGAGTGTGCAGACACTGGTAGTGGGTGGAATGGGGACCAAGGGCAACAGGATTCCCTCACTCCAGCACTTCCACCAAATGTCTCATGGCCTGGGACTGTGGCTCCAGCAAAGCGCTTGGAGGACAAGCTAGGGCCAGAAGCCATGACACGGGTATCCAGAAATCCACAACAATATAGCCCATGGCCGCCACGAACCCCTTCTCCACAGGTCACATTTCTATATTACCATCAGGGTAACTCAGTAGAGCTCATGCCATTTTGCACTGGAGTCCATAGGTGGGACTCCTGCCCCAGAAACTGCCTCCCTGCTCCTCCTCCTCTTTCCCTCTTGACAGATGGTGTGTGGAAGCTGCAGCCACAGCCCTGTGAGCCAAGAGTGCTGTGGAGACCCCACTTCAGGTGATGGAACAGATGGCCAGAGGAGTAAAATTCCTCCTCCTCCTCCTCTGCCTTCATCCCTTACAGCTCTGTGCGGTGGGACAGGCTGCCGGTGCCCTGCAGGGTGGCATTCCAACACAGGGAGCAGGCCAGCCAGCACTCGCTGGGCTGCCACCACAACACCCTGGCAAGGGCTTGATGCCGGCTGCGGAGCATCCCCCTGCTGACGTCGTGCCTGGCCCCATCAAGCAGTCCCAGCTCACCTCTTCCTCTCCAAAGGTTTGCCTCACCCCAAAACTGTCAGCAAGCACAGCCACTGGTGTAATTGCCGCCTGACCCGGCTGAGTCGCGACGGGTGGCTCCAGCTGCAGCCCGAGCAGGAGGCACAACCGCAGCCTGGAGAGAGGCAGGCTCACAGCGTGCAACCCCGGGCATGGAAACAGGAGGAGAAATATCATATCCTTTGATTTCTGTATTTTTGGGTCTAATTCCTAATACCATGCTCCTTGTGAGCAGGAAGGCAAATGATGCAATAAAACTGTTTTGAAATCCTTATTTATATTTTTTCTCCTGCTGATATTTTTTGAAAAAGATGAGTACTGAATGTTACAGTTATTCCTCATAAATAACTCCTTTTCCTGATTAAAACAGTCCAGGATGGTGTCAGAGTTAATTCACAACACAGTGTGCTGTGACTAGCTTGGTTGCTCTCCGTCCAGGATTTCAATCAGCCTCTCTGACCACAATTAACCCTTTGGAGTGAGAATAACCAACTTCTTGGAAGGATGACAAAGCAAAGGGAAGCACTCTCAGCCCATCAAAATTAATAACCATTTATAAACATTGCTTCAAAAGCCAATGCAATAATAGGTCATCTTCAATTATTTTAAACCATTTCATTATTTTCTTCAAAACACCTTCACCAAATCAGTGAACTAAATGCCACCCATCCATACTCCCAAAACTGCATGTATTTTAGCACTGATCTGAAAAAGAAGTTCTTTCCAAAAGGAAAGTTTCAGTGAAACATGATGAAGGTGCAGGTCCCACCCCTTGGAGGCTACAAACTAAACCCCTCAGTCTCCACACCAGGAGCTGAGGGAGCAGCCACACGTGTGGAGCAAGAGAAGCAGCAATGGCCAGGCAGTATTTCCCCATGTTCCTGCCGTGTGTGTGAGCAGGAATGCTGCTGGCCCCACCAGAGCTTCCCCAGCTCTGGAGCTGTGGGGAGGATGTATGTGAGCTACATTGGGAATGCTCAGCACGTGGTTTTCCAGAAGATCATAACTCACAAACCAAAACATGGATCCGCGGTAGCTCAGAAAGATGGCTGGCTTGATATGGAAATAGCTGAAATTTCAGCCTCTCTCCCTCCCCCAGCTGCGTACGTTGAAGAGTTGTTAAAACAAGAAAAAGATCTATAATTAGCAAGTCTACATACACCCATTTTCTTTGCAATATTTTTAGCAATATTGAGCCAAGTTACTCAAACTTTCCAAAGAAAAATAACCGTAAGGAAAATTCCCTTCTCTGGAATGAAAGCAGTAGAAAAATATGAGGTTGAAAAGGGTTAGAATGGAAACCATTGTGCAACCTTAGCTATAATAAGGACTGAAAAAACTGATTGTTGTTTATTACATTTATTTCATGTTGTCTGATAAACAGATTTCATGTTGTCTTCAGCCGTCACAGCTGAAGATGGTATAGAAGACCAAATGCAAAATTACCTTCATTCATATTGGCTTTCTAACCTACCTTAAATAAATGGTTTTGGAGCTAGGATGGTGTATCTAGAGGCTGTAATAAATATCCCACTCTCAGGGTTACAGCAGACTCTCTGCTTTGTAAATAATTGAGGTTGCTTCCTTCTCTTTATCACTGTTCAATTTACATCATCTTTATTTCAAAAAACTAAAACATAAAGAGACAAATATATTAAAATAAGTTTCTTTACACATCTCACTCCCCCTCATCCCCCCAGTTTTTGTAGCACAAGTACATTGCTTTAGAATCAGGAGCTAATATGACAGGGCAGAAATTCCTTGTCCACAATATAAGAATTTACGTTGAATGGTTAGTTCATTAAATAGAATCAAATTAAATCAAAATTCATCCTACTAACAGGCTATACAACAAATTTGATTTTTCTGCTTGCAAAGCAGAGAAAAAAAGAACCTCAAGGTAGCACTAAAGATACATCTCTTTGATCTATCACTAAAAGTGGGCAGCAATAAAATAAGGAGTTCAGTCCATAATTTTTTCAAGACATTGTCTATATAGCTGTTAAATAAAACAGGATTATAGTACATTTTTCTCCCTAAAATCTTTGAAGAAGCCATTTAGTGAACTATGCAGGCTTAATTCCTGGCTTAATGCACAGGTGATGGACAGCGACCGTGAAGCTCAATGGTTACAGGCCAGAACAATGTGCTGCAATTTTCCTCTTGCCAGTGTACATTTATACTCAGCTCTCTGGCTATAGTTATTTCCCAATTTTTGTCTCAGTGTAAGAAAATGACAAATAAAGGTGAGAAGGGGAAAAAAAGGGAGCCTCTCCTCTTTGGTATGCAGCCCGGTTTACTACCAAGAAGGGAGCTTGCTTCACAAATAATCCTGTGAGCATCTAAATTTACTCCCATTCTAGCATTTGGTAACCCAGCCTCACTCTGGCCTTTGGTAATTCAAAGACAATGACTACGTAAACCTCAGCCTTAGCTTCCTTCCCAAGGCTTGGCTCCTTGTATCACTGTGCTCCAGAGCCTGCTCTGTCCCAGAGTTCTCTGGCTTAAAGAGTTAACCAAACCTTTTTGCCAGCCCAATTCAGCGTTACTTTTCTGGGTCTTAGAAGTTAGCACTTGAACCTGAGCTGGTGACTCAGAGACCCCTGCTAAATGAATTCCTGGTTTAAGTGCACTGACATGGATGGAGTCACAAAAGGAACAAAACTGGTCCTTTGCCTTACTTGCTCTTATCCACAATAGGCAGCTCTATTTTTCTACATAACAAGCACCAGAATACAGAATATATTATTAGCTGCCAAGAAATGTAGAACAAACAGACTTACATGTTTTTCCCTTTATTTCCATCATCTGACCTTTGCTTTTTATGTCTTAGGAGCAAGATGCAACTTTATTTACATGTATAATCTAGATGAAATTCTAGTTTGTGTGTAGAAAGTTATGTGAACTTTGGCCTTTGAATTTGACTTTCCTTTTTTTTTCCAGAGCATAACATAATGAATTAATGGAAACATGAAAAAGTTAGGTTTTAGAATTATTCTAATTTCAAGTTTCTAATTCTTTCAGGCCAGACTTGATCCTTTATCCTTCCCTAGAGGTTTGAAGCATTAGTTCATAGTCTAAAATATAAACTTGTGTCCTGACACAGAAGGTACTAAAATCACTCATATTGCCCAGCTCAATAATAATAGCTTTGGAATCCCCATGGAAAGATTGACTGTAGAAAAAGGTGCTACTAGCCACCTCAATTTGTATAACACATCAGTAGAGAGAAAGTTAATTATTAAAACAGCAGAATTCAAATTATTAGGATGATAACAAAATCTAATAGGGAAACAGAGTAAATACTAAGAGAGTCAACATGAAAAAGTAAACCAGATAATGATCTAGGTATGACTTATGGGGGGTGAGAAGAGTTTAAATAGAATCACAGAATCACAGACTGGTTTGGGCTGAACAATTCCAACTCTTTCATCCTTTCCTCATAGGAGAGGTGCTCCATCCCGCCGATCAGCTTGGTGGCCTCTCCTTTGGACTTGCTCCAACAGGTCCATGTTCTTCCTGTGGTGGGGACCCCAGAGATGGACACAGCACTGCAGGTGGTGTCCCCAAGGACATTCACACCATTCAAACCTGCAGCTGAATACATTGACTCTGGTTTTCCTCACCCGTCTGATCAACTTTGGATGTTTAACTTATATTTTCCAACTCCCCAGTTTTTTACTCCTATGTACCTGCCTAGACTCTGATTGCTAGTGAGAAAAAACATCTCACTTCTACCCCATATTTTATGTCTAGGCTATGCAATCTCTCCAGTTTTACATACCAAATGAAAACCAATATGATACATGCTAAATCTTGGTCTTCCTTGGTTAGGAATTTTTCATGAAATAACAGTAAGTAGCCCACAACATTAAAACAAAGGGAATGATGAATAAAAAATTAAAGTGCTAACGTCTACTCATAGTTCTCATTAAACAAAATATCAATTCTGGCATAAATATTTAAATTCAGTATAACGTTATTGAAAAAAACCTTTAAAACCATGCCTCTATATATCAAAAAACACTATTCTGATAAAACCATAATACTTTATCTAAAAATGAACAAGAGAAGGTTCTTCACAGGGAGTCTGTGCATAATCAAAGAAAAAATAATTTGGGTTTACCAATGTATCTGTTTTGTTATTTTTTTTAACATTCACATGGTTTTATTATGTGAGTTTTTTTGTTATCTCTGTCCCTACCAGTGTACAGATGATTGTCAATCCAGTATCTCTGGGGCAGGAGCAGGGAGCTTCTCTGTGGAAATAACATCCTTCCAAATTTCATGGTACTATTTATTAATTAGTGGCTAAGAGCCTGTTCTTTTCATTTTCTACCACACACAACCCACATGGTCAGCAACAAATCATCAAAGCAGTCCGGATGGTTGCTTTCAGAGGTATTTTTCAGAAAGGGATATAAAAAGTCTAACAAACCAAAGGAGCGACAATCTAAGTCACTTTTGAGAGAACACCATATACAACTCAAGAGAAACAGTGGCCTTAACTGTAAGGGAAGAGCTCAGCACAAAGCATCTGGGTGGTAGAGCTCTGCTGCTTCAATGAAAGCCACTGTCTGTTACAAAGACAGAAAAATCCCTCCCAAAAATAGTAAAAAAAAAATAATCAAGATGATTAAAAGATTACTCACATGCAATCTCTCTCTAACATTATTAGCTCTCAGCTCCTAAACACTGAATTTACAGGTAACCAGCTAATCACAGCAGCTTTTGATAGCTTTTTCATTCTCCAGCAATAAGGCCACCCCAGTTCATCTTGGAGGCTGTATAACTTTTTGCATTGATTGCATTGATTAAAATGAGAAGATACTTAATCTACTCTAGTTCTAATTCTTCATATGATCTTAGGAAATAGGACCACATTTTTAATACTATATTTAAAAATAGCTCTAGAAAACATACATTCCTATAGGCCCAGTGCTTTTCTCAAGGCGGGAAAGATGAGTAATGCTTCCAAAAGACAAGTACAGTAGCTGGGGATGTGGTACAGCAAACTTGGTTAAAGTTAGTTAAACTGTGAAGTTCAAAAATTTTGTTTCAAAATGCTCCTGGGAGGAGGAATGCAGCGTCAAAAAGCAGCTCCCCATCAAAACTGATGTGTATGTCCCTACATCTTTTAAAGCCTTTAGGAACTGTTGAGCAGGCCTCCCATCAGCCTGTCAGATACTGAACTTCCCAAGACAAATGAAACTCACTTTTGCAAGACTTGTAAAGCAAGAATATATGTAACCTGCTTTTTCAAAACACACATGTTGCAAATACAGATACTGACTGTACTGACATTTCTCCATTACAGCTTAAAATAACATCCTGTGTGATGCCTATATGCTGAGCTGTTAGCTCAGTTTTGGAATTTCTAAACACTGGTTTGCTTTCAAAGAATAACACTCCGGTTTCTGTACAATACATGAGAGCACACTGGCTCTTCAGCTGGGAAACAAAGTTAAGAATGTGTGGGCTTTGGCTTCAGAATTAACCATGCTTTAGTAATCTAGTATACTAAACTGTTTCTTATTAATGTATCATGCAAATACTCTCCAGTCCTCCCACAAGTCTGACACTTTCCCAACATATCAATAGCAAATGTTCTGTGAAATGCAACTTTTCTGATGTAGGCCACCCTGACTTTCAGTGTGATCTCAACCCACCATCCAAATCTTCATGGCAGATGCATAATGGGGTTCTTTAGTAGGGGAAACAATATAGAAAAAAAAAAAAGTTTTGTTGCTACTTTGATATATTAAATTTATTTGCTTTAGCAAAGAGACTGCTTTTTATTTACTTTTTTCTTTCTTAATTACAGCTGAATAGCATCAGGTTTGTTGGGTTCTCAGAGTCAGAATATAAAGTAATGTTGGGAGATGGTTGGTATCAGCCTTTCATTATGTAGCTAGCTGATTTTACATACAATTTTTAAGTGCCTTGTCTTAACCCCAGCTGTTTTGTGTCTTAATACAGATGAGATAGAGAATGTACCCTGTGACTTTTGTTACATGACAAATACACTCTGCAGAGGCTCTGCCACCACTGCCCCATCTCACAGAGGAGATTTTTATTTGACGCTGCTGTTGCCAAGCCACATGCCAGCTTCACGTTCCTTCTGCAGGTGGCAGATGTGACAAGGTGAGCACAGGGCAATGTCTCATTAACCAACAGGAGCTACTTGTAAGCAGGCTAGCTGGTGCTGGCTGCAGCAGAAAGCAGGTGAACCTGCCCTGCTAGCCAAGAGGCTTTGTGGTTTGTCCCAACAGCTGCCCCACCTCGGTCACTACCAGCACCAGTGTGACCCTTACCCTCACTGTTTCGAAGCCACCAGCCTGTAGTCCAGATGTCATTACAGGTTGTGGCCCTAACAAGAAGGCATTCAAAATGGCACATGAAGGTATCAGAGGAATATATAGCCATTGATATTTGTTTTTCATATGTTTGTGCTTTACATCTTTTTAGGCTACAATAAAAGATCACAGTGTGATCTACTCTCCTCTGACTCGGCCATAGTGTCTTTCAGGAGCTTTCTGTAGGCACTGCTGAAACAGAGAACCTTGAGAAATGATAGAGGGTATGTGTTCTAATTTTTAGCTTTTTATCTCCCTTCTGGTTTTTACATTC